CAGGATCCGAGCGCTCGCCCGGCTTTGGAGCAGGCTCCTCCCCCGAGGGCTGCCCGGAAGGGGCCCAGCCGACCGCTCTGGCCCGCGGAGACGGGAGCCGCGTCCCGCGTTGGGTTCCACCTCCACGATCCTTCTCGGGGCAGCTTTTCACAGGCGGCCTGCTGGACGTCCTGGGACTGTGAACCGGGGAGGGGCGGAGAGGGGAGCCCCTCCCCGGGGAGATCCGCGGCCAGAAGCCCGTCTTCCCTCTGGGCTGCTACGGCGTTAAACCAGGGCAAGGGCTCCCGGGGGCGCACAGGACCCCCCAATTAGTGTGGGTGATGCAGGCTGGCTGTGGCCCTGGAGGACCCTACTTTTTCCTGCTGCTGCGGCCAAATGCCTTCCCTTGGAAGGAACGCCTCTCCCCTTCCAAGCACACACACCCCACAACTGTAAGAAAGCCTTTATTGCAAATAATCATAGCTCAGAAAATAATAAACATAATTATTATTATAATAATAATACATCTGGAATAGCCCTACGGGGCCAGTCTGGGTTAATGGGGATGAAGTTACCAACGTGTCTTTAGGAGGCAGTTCACGGAAAGGATGCAAGCATGGGGAGGACGTGGGGAGCCTCCTGGCGTCAGGACCGGCGTTTTCCCCCAAGGGGGCTTACTGGGGCAGCAGTCTCTTCGCTCCGGCCTCTTGCCTGACCACCTCCTTCCCTCAGCAGCTGTACCTCCGTTCAAGGTGACCCAAACACGGCCAGATACAAGCCCGCCCGGCAAGTAATCTTCGGGCCACGAATGGCCCCAGCAGGAGGAGAGGGTGGAAGGGGAAAAGATTCCCCCGATTCGTTAACGGGATCCTGATGGCTCAGAGCAATGCCAATGCAACAAGAGGGTCCAGCGTGAACAAATGTGTCAGCACACAACAGGCGATGTATTTGTGTTTCACTGTGGTAACAGTAAGACAGTGCATTTCCCCAAAGGCGAATGAACGAACAAGAGACATGGCTAAGGGAAGCCACCATGCACAGAGGCCCTAAATGCTGCTGGGCTGGGGCACGGACAACAGAAATGGCAACCGCTGCATGCTCGGGGTGCAAGCAACCAACCGGCCGCTCCCTCCTGGGGACAGGATGCGAGACCCTGGTCGGATCCAGCAGGGGACCAAGGATGTCCTTAAATCCCACACCAGCGCCTCACGGTGCAGCTCGACCAGCATCCAACACGCCCGATCCAGGAAGCAGAGCTGGGAGACTTCTGCCATCCCAGCTGACCACTGACCTTTCCAAATCCTGCCAGCCTCACACCACTCCCAAGGATCATTGGGGTCCTCTCCCCTGCGGCTCGCATCAAGCGGGGGGCTCCTCTAAATAACAGCCTCTTTTGGGACGGAAAGCGCATGCTGAAGTTACTCTTCCAGAAGAATGGGGTGCGCCTGGATTTACGGAGCCTTCGATCCCTCAGAATGCAGCTTCGTCAAGGTGCAAAAAATCCTGTTTGAGCCCGTTTAGGTGGATCACAAATAAGTCCCTCAGAACCCTCAAGGACCCACTGGGCACAGCCATCGCTTCCAATGGGGCCAGTTTTAGCTGGATTGGGGCCGCGGTTAGAGTTCAGAGGTTTTCAGGGCTGGGAGCCGTGGCTGTTAAGCAGCTCTGTGAAGGTGCATGTCTGCAGCACAGGCAGGCAAAAGCTGGGGGAACACAGGGCCCTCCCCCACACATGGCTTCCATCTGGCCCTTCCCCACCTGGAGCATCTCCCTGTCAAGCTACTGGACTCCCAAGAGACCAGCAAGGATGGCTGTACTTGTGGCTGATGTTTATTGGAGCATCTCTGGGCTCCTCTTCAGAACAGCGGCTGGCCAAGCACCAGAGGCTGTTACAGTCCCAGCAGCAGCAGCCGTGTTCACTCCTAACAAAAATGCAGGGTCTTCATAGACCCCCAGCAGCCAAAAGTCAGCATTCAGGAGTTTGCTGTATCGCAGGCAGAGGTTTTGCCTTTGCACACCTAAAGGGGTAATCTTGCAGATACACCTTTGAGAGGATGAGTCACGGCCACCGGAGCAAGGTGTGCAGCGCGATCCTGCTGCTACTGTAAACACAGACAAGAGTCAGTCACAACAGCACAGGCAATGTGGGCCCCAGAGGTGGCTGAAACACAGAGGACCCTCAGAAACGGGGGAGCTACAAACCTCAACAAGCTGATGTACCCCACGCAGCAGAAGCCAAGCAGGGGCCCTGCACCTGCCCTCCTGGCACCCCGAGGAATAAAGGGCAGCAGGCAGCTGTTTCTGCATGGCACCAACTAGTCTCCTGACCCAGCCACGGTTTAAAGGAATGGAGCTAATAGGGAGCTAACCATTCCCCAACTTTCTCACTCACCCCTTTCACCTCCAACACTGAGAAAGGAAGAAGGAAGGCCGGAAGGAAGGAAGGAAAAATTCAGAGGTCCACCCAGCAGTCCCAGGGCAGGGCTGCCCACCCATCCTAGCCTTACCAAACCTGGACGACAGGCAAAGATCAAATGCACTTCTGAAAGCTGTTTTCAGAGTGAGCAACTCACAGAACCAAAGGCACTGATTGCAGAGGGAGCAAAAGTGGAGATAAGGCTCTTCTCCAGGGAAAGGGAGTTCTCTCTAGGGCCAGGAGTCCAAGATCTAGGAGGGCCAAGCGCACCGGCTGCTGGGTCTCTGAGCTCCTGCCACACAGCCACAGCCGTCGCCGTGGAAGGAGGCATGCAACCTGGGTTGGGGGGCAGCCGCAGGGCCACACCACAGCTTCCCAGGCCGAAGGAGGGAGCAGCACAGCTCAGCTGCCTTGACTTGGTTGCTCCCCTCCTCCTGGCAAAACAATCTGCAGGCTTTAAAAGGTGGCGGCGGCTGTGGCAGCATGTCAATTCACCAGAGCTGCTGTTTCCCCTCCTGACTCCAAGCGGGGGCTCCCAAACAGGCTACGAGCGAGAGAAGAGCGCCAGTGCAGCACCTTCCCAATTACGTCTCCCTTTCCCATCACACAGAGGGCAGCTGCAAATGCAGAGCCCCTCGCTTTCTGCTTACCCAAAGGAAGAGAGGGCGGGCGCAGGGCCTTCTTCTGCCCACCACGCCGCACCTCCCCATTCAGAGCTGGCCCTCCCTGTGCCCGGGCTCCGGACCACTCCCTGTAGTCCCGTTCTAGAAGAGGAAGCCGTGCCAAGGCCCACAAGGCATTTCCGTGTTTGCCACTCAAAGCAAGCAGCCCTTTCGCCCACAGCGCTTGCCAAAAGGATGGGGATGACAACACAAAGCCCTGTAGGGAAGACCGGGAGCAGGCAGCCCCAGCTCTCCAGGAAGCAGCTGACCTGGCTGACCTTTACAGGGAAAGCGACTGACCACAGCTCTTGCTTTTCCTCCATGCACCAATCATCAATCCTGGGGGTTTTGCGGGGGGGGGGGGGCTATTTGCAGATTATTATTCTTATTTAAGCAATTTATATGGCCGCCCAACTCCTTCCCAGCAACTCTGGGCGGCTTACAGGAATACAAGTCCCAAATGCACAGGGAGAGCCTGTCTTTTCCTCAGCTGCGAGCCAAGCCCTCCACAGGCTTTCAGACCAGCGCAGGGCTCCGCCGCGTGATCACTAGCTAAAGCAACAAGGGATTTTCCAACCCCCGGGGTCTTTATCTTGGGAAATCTTGGGATGCAATGATGGGAAAGCCCCTAGTTAGAATTCTCACCCCCCACCAGGAAAGGGCACCATATGAAGAACCCTCCTCACTAGAGTGCTGGATTCCTTCCCTCCCCCGCCCCAAAACATAGCAGCCAGTGGGAGGCAGCTATCCACCCATCCTTCCCTGCCTGGCACTGTGCCAATCAAAAGTTCCTGCCCCCCCCATGCATGAGGCTGCCACACACTCTGCATACCCATATCTGGACCCAACTGGCCCTCCCTCCCCAGAGCTGTATCTTTTGTACTCTTGTCTCATTCCTTGGCATTAGGCCTCCGGGTTCTCTGCCCATTCCTCAGATATAATTAATGCCACATCTGCCCCAACATCTTTCTAAGACCTAACTCAACTGGCACCAAAGCTATGCAAGATGCCCAGAGGAGGTGCGCTGGGGGAGGGGGCAGAATCCTCACCCCCACCCCTTGCTGCTTCTCATCCCCTGCAGACCTCTGGAGGCTGTCAACATTTCTTCTCATCCTTCCTCCTCCTCCACCCCCCTGTCCCAAGCCAGGGCACTCAATCTACTCCATACGGTTGACCACCTTCCCACCGCCCCTCGTGAAAGGAGCCCCTTTTCCTCCCAGGCAGGATTGACAGCTTAAGGCACAGACTCCCCACGTTCCGCCGGGGGGCTTTTGCTCCTCCAGCAAAGGTGCGCAGGCCCTGTGCCAGCGCAGGGTGGAGTTCTCCAGGGACCCAGCCTCACAGCAGCAGCAGCTCCAGCTGGAGCCAAGTGGGGGGCTCCAGGGGCCTACAGCTAGTTGGGTCATTCATAAAGTGCTTCTGCGTCTTTCCGCTCCCTCCCCTCCCCATCCCCCCCCACGGAGCCCTTGTGAAAGGACCACCACAGCCTTCCAGCCCCACCACAAACCAGGCTCTTTGGTCACGGCCTCCTGCAAATTTCAGGCATTTCTAATCCAGCGGCTGGACGAGGAGGGAGGGGGCTTCTGCCTCTCCCCTTTGGGGCAGCCCCACATTACATCTGCACAGAGCTAACTCCTCGGGCAGGTACTTCGAGCTAAAGGAACAACGTGGCTTTCCTTGCCTTGAGTCCCAGGTAGGGCAGGCAGGGCAAGAGGAGGACCTTCTGCTTGGAGGCCATGCTCTCCCCCCACACCCATCTCCCGAGGTCTTTTTCCCTCACACCATTCCAATTCGCACGCAAACGGAGGGCAAAATCCCTCCCCACCCCAAGGCTCCCGGCTCTGCCCCATCCCTGATGGATCCAAAGGGGAGCAAGACTGCAGGGGAGTCGCAAGGCTTGTTCGCCACATGCCCGGGCGCTGGTCCAGTTCTCCCTCCCCAGCAAAGTTCAGCCATCCACAGGTTCTGCAGCAGCTCTAATCTGATCCCAACAGTGCATTCCTTTAACAAGCTTTTTTTCTTGCAGGTAGAGAAAGGGGGCCAGATTCTTCGGAGTCTCCCCAGTGGCGCTGCAAAGCGGACCGCAACATCTGGCAGAGGCAGGCCAGGCCAGGCCAGGCCAGACCAGGCCCACCCACTTGCCAGTGTGCTGGGAAGCCCCACCTGCCTACAAGGCACCAGCTACAGCCACGCGTCTGCCAAGGGCCACAGAGGGATGTCACCTTCAGCCAAGCACTGGCAAGGACAAGCTTCCAAGGGGGACTTTTCGGTGTGCCCGGAAAACAGCAGGCATGCTGAAGGATGAGCAAGTCTTCTCGTCCAAGAAAGCCAGCCCCTGCTGCCCGGCGCCCCACCTGCAGCTCTGCCAAGTTCTTGGTCTTTCCTTCTTTCATTGAGGAGGCAGATTTCCACTGCACAATGATGTGCCTCCTGGGGAGGATTCTGAGGGCTCCTGGAGAGGTCAATGGCACGGTGGCAAGACAAGGAGGTGGGCACGGCACAGCACGACATGCCCCATGGTGCTGGTCTTCCTGTCACATGCGAGTTTCGGGAGAGGGCGCCCATGCTGGAAGGATGGATTGCCTCCAAGGAGCCCCACAAGAACAGAAATAGTCTTGGCCAGGAGGTGCAGGTACAAAGAGGGTCTGCATGTGTCCCTAGAGCAGGAGGGGGCAGACTGGGGCTTCCCCGTCCACAATACATGCATAAACCCCGCTGTCCACTCCACAGGGCGCTGTCGGTGGGATCCGAGGGGAGTCCAGCCCCACCCAATCTGTGCTCGCACAGTGCCCGTCATTAGGGGGTGGGGAAGTTACCGCAAGGAATCAGGGATCGAACAGAGTCTGGGGTTGGGAGTTGCCGGATGGCTCTGGCCCCCTTGCTGAAGCTGAAGGGTACGGGCCGGGCACGGAATCCCCAGCCAGGCCCGCCCTGGGGCGTCTCTGCTCCCGGGCTGGAGCTGTCCCAGATGCGGCGGGTGAGGAATGACCAAGGAGGCCCTGCCGGCATGGCAGAGGCAGTGAAGCATCTCGCTCGGGGCTTCCACGGCAGCAGGCCGGGGGGCGGCAGCCACACCTTTCGGCTTGGAGGTGATCGGCTGCGGCTGCCCCATGGGAACCACAGAATGCGCGCTGGAGCTGGGAAGCACAGGCAGGCTCAGCCGACGCTGGCAATGAAGCATCTCCGTGTGGGGATCCATCGCTGCTGGCGGGGCACTGAGCTTCGGGCCCTGTTCTGAGCCAGGGGCCACTGCCTGGAGGTGCCCGGTGGGGCCGGCAGTGTGCGGACCAGGGGGAGGGTCTGCAGGAAGACTCTGCCCGTGAGGGCCCCCGTGCTGCCCAGAGGGGGCAGGCCGGTGGACACTGGGAGCAGGGTCTCCAGGGAGATCCGGGCGGGGGGCTGGGGTGGCCCGCTGGGGAGCTGAAGTGGGGTCACCAGGAAGGGCCTGTTGAAGAGCGGGAGCTGCCAAGAGGGTGCTAGTCAGTGGATCCGTCCCCAGCACCTGCCGGTGGGTTCGCTGGTGCGCGCGCAGAGCGGACTCGCCTTTGAAGCGCTTGGGGCAGCAGGTACAGGCATGAGGGCGCTGCTGCGAGTGGGTGCGCTGATGTGCTGCCAGGTTGCCCTTCTGGCTAAATCGCCGCCCGCAGGTGGCGCAGGGAAAGGGCCGCTCGCCCGAGTGGATGCGTCGATGAGTGATGAGGTTGGCCCGCTGGTTGAACCGCTTGCCGCACTCCGTGCAGGGGAAGGGCTTCTCGCCCGTGTGGATGCGCTGGTGGGTGATCAGGTTGGGGCGCTGGCTGAAGCTTTTCCCGCAGACGTTGCAGGGGAAGGGCTTCTCGGTCTGGCGGCTGCCGCGGGGCACGGGGACCTTGGGCTCTGGAGCAATGAGCCCCTCCTGGACCGCGTGGGTGCGCTGGTGGGCCGCCAGGTTCGCCTTCTGGCTGAAGCGCTTCCCACAGCGCAGGCAGGGAAAGGGGCGCTCGCCCGTGTGCACCCGCTGGTGCGTCAGCAGGTTGGGGCGCTGGCGGAAACGCTTGCCACACTCCAGGCATGGGTAGGGCTTCTCGCCGGTGTGGATCCGCCCGTGCGTGATGAGGCCTTGCTTCTGCCGGAAGCACTTTCCACAGACCACGCAGGTGAACGGCCCGGAGCCTAGCCCCTGGGATGGGCGCCCAGGGCCACTGAGGCTTGGCTCACACGAGGCTGCCTCCTCCTTTTTGACCCGGGGCTGGTTTCTCAGCTGGGTGGCGTTGGGGGCCAGGAAGAGCCCTGCCCTGGAACTCTCTGGGAACAGCTGGTAGCGCTCCAAGCTGGCCACAAAGCCCTTCTGGCCACCTTCTTCTTCTTTGATGGCCTTGCTCCGTCCAGCTGCTCCAGAGCAGAAGAAAAGGGGGAGAAATGAAGGTCAGAAGAGCCTGGCTGGCTGATGCTCATCCTCGCTGCTGCTATTAGTTAAGGTTTACCCTGTGCCTTTTGTCCAGAGCATAAAGTGGTTCCTGGCAGCAGGGCGGGGGGAGGGTGGGAGGAGAATTCCCCTTCACTTTGTTCTCTCAGAAACAATGCTGCAAAGCAGGCTGAGTTGAGAAAATGCCCAGCTCAAAATCACTAAATGATTCCCCAATCCTTGCCCATCTTCTCACCACTCTAGATGAGCACTCTGGCTCATCTAAAGGCCTCCAGAGTTTGTAGAAGAAAGTCACAGCCAGACATAAAAGAAGCATCCACTCCCCACTTTTCCCCCTGCAATAAAAAGATTGATCATCTCCAGATCTCAATGCTACATTTTAGGACAAACTAGGATACCTCCAGAAGGTGCCTGGAACACGAGAAAGAGTTAGAGGAGCAGGGTGTGTTTAGCTTGGAGAAAAGAAGATCAAAGCAAAACACGAAGCAATCTTCAGGGGCCCCACAGAAGATGGAAGACTGCTTACGGGAGGGCTACCCCCATTTAATCAGACCTAGCTGTCCTCCTGACACTGAACCAAAACAGTTATCTGTATTTTCGGCAGCTGGAGAGGCCAGGACCAAACTTGGGACTTTAAGCGTGTGAAGTGAGGGCCCCACAGCTTCTCTAACAGAAGGCCCGGAACAACAGGGTGGAAATAGCAGATTTCAGCAAACCATTCCAAGCAAGGCCCTAAGAGAAAATGCCCTCCAACAGTGGAATCATCTCCTTATGGCAGTTCCTTTGCTGGAGACCTTTAAGCCCCATTTGGAAAGCCAGCTCTCAGGCTAGACTAAACTCCCTCTAAGGTCCCTCCCAGGTTAAATCGTAAAGCTGGAAGCTCTACTGAACAGTTGTTGGCCTAATCCTGTGAAAGGGCTCCTCTGCAAACAGAGCATCTCAAGAAAGCAGTCACATCTCCTCCTCTGGGGCTACTCCGGTAATGAAGGCCCTGTGTTCAAAAGAAGCACTAAAGGGCCATAAAGGGACCGACTGCTCCAGACGGAGGTTGAATGGCATCACGTACAGCTTCAGCAAGCCTCCAAATTTAGGGTCAGAGAACTCCAGAGTCTAGTGCCACTGGAAAATTCTGCCATCTCTCCAAGGGCTCAAGAGGATTGCCCCAACTACAAACTTGCTGAGTAGGCCAGGCCGACAGCTGACTGCCCCAAAGCCACACAAAGGGAGCTTCTGTGGCCAAGGGACAGTTGAACTGGGCCTCCCTCAGCCGGCATGGATGCGCAACAGGCTGGGGACAGAGGCTGTGCCGTGTGGCATTAAGGCACGGCGAGCCCCAGGTCTGCCTCTTACGCACCTTGCTGAGAAACCAAGGGTGGCCCTGGGGGATCTTTCGGCCTCTTATCTCAACCAGTGGAAAGAAAGGTCGAGAAGCAAAGATACAGCACATTGTGAATGCCACACGCTCTTGAAATGTGCAAGACAGTGAAACGCTGACACCATGCCACTTTTAAACCACAAGCCGACATCCAGCTTTTACTCTCCCGGCCGAGAGGAACACCAACGAATGACGGCCTCCGCCGTGCTGCGCTGTGCTACAAAGCCAGAGCGCTCCCTGCCCTCCCCTACCTTGGCAGGAGCCTGCACAGAGCTTGCCTTCCTCCAGCTTCTGGCGGTCCGTGACACCAAGTTCCTCCCACCGTTCAATCCAAGATAAGCTCTCAGGCTTAAAGAAACGGTAGCCTGGGGAAAAATCACAAAAGAAGCGGTCAGCTTGTTGATCTTCCAGGAGCTCAGCAGCTGCTACTTGGGCCAACAGGATTTTCTGGAAGGAGAGGAAGAGATGTTTGAGGTGCCTTGTCTTCCAGGTACCTCCAGAAGTCCATGATACAGCCTTTATTTCTGCCTGAGCAAGAGAGGCGCATAGATATTTTTCACAGAGGAGCAGCTGGTCATGTTATCAAACAGAAGCCTCAGTGCAGACAGTGCAAGAGCACAGCAAGAAGAATGGAGATGTTTGGTAGCCTTTCCTTCTTTCAAAGCGGCAGGAATGTACTTGGAGGAAGATAATGATGTGAATTAACTGTTGTTCTTTTATTTCTATGGCTTTAGTTGAGTTTTTATGTAATATTGTACTGTATATTGTACATCGTCGGCTACCTGGGTTATCTCACTCGGACAGAAAGATGAGATGGAAATCAAATGCTACGCCCACCAAATACAGAAACATGAAGTGGATCTTCAACTCACACAGTCACAACCAAACTGAAAAAAGAGGCAGCTTCAACCACGGTACAATTTCTGTTTTCAAAAACAAAAGAAGCAAGTTGGAAAGATTACGTCACTAGCGACACAAGGAGGACCCAGGGCAGCTTCAACTAAAGGCTGAGGCAGGGCAGAATGAAAACCAGGTGACCGTGAGCCGTTTGCCACACAGTACTCCGTCTGCCTTCTTCTTCTCAGCCATGGTGGAAAAAACAATGCGGTTCCATGACTTATTGCCAAACACGTTGGCAACCAATGCTAAGTGTACAAATGTAGAGTTATTAATAAGGTCAACCACCAAAATATAGCTATTAACGTGATGAAATAAAGAGAAACCTGTCCATCGTGCAAACGACACGTAATTTGCAAGCAACATAAAACACCACCATCATTTTCAGACTCCAACAAAAGGAAGAGGAAGGACAATGGGGTCAGTAGCAGCACTTTCACTTGGGGCAGAATTGTGGGATTAGCTCATTTTTAGCCTGAAGGCCTATAGCCTGGAATTCAACTCAACTGAAATAAGTGTGCTGGCATTTTGGGGCAGAAATGCAGTATTTAATTCCACGCCCAGTAACCTCAACAGGGACAAGAAAGCTTTCCAAAAGGGGCAAAAAAAGTCTTCAAGCAGGCGCTGCAGAAAAAAGACGGCCAGTCATCAATGTCTTGCTGTAAGAGATCTCTGCTGAGAGATGGGCCAGGTGCACCGAAGGACCTGCTAAAAACCTCCAAGTCCCAGGACTTGTCATGCAGCCTCAGCTCAAGCCCTACAAGCAGAGTCTGCGTCACTCGGCCAGTAAGAAAACAAGTCCAACTGTTCCCAAGAAAATAAAAATAATGGTGCTCCAAAACCTTCACTAGTACCAATATCTTTGTATGGGATCAGCCCAATTATTTACCTGGACATGGATCTGTTGGAATCCCTCGGCTAGAATCTAGCTGGTCACCAACACACTGCTCTCCAGCACGCTCAATCCGAGACAGGAGATCAGGTTTGAGAACCGGGTAGCCTGAAAAAGATGAGC